TGTCAACACTGTGTATGGTGGTGGTGTCATGTGTCAACACTGTGTATGGTGGTGGTGTCATGTGTCAACACTGTGTATGGTGGTGAAGGTGTCATGTGTCAACACTGTGTATGGTGGTGGTGTCATGTGTCAACACGGTGTAAGGGGGTGAAGGTGTCATGTGTCAACACTGTGTATGGTGGTGGTGTCATGTGTCAACACGGTGTAAGGGGGTGAAGGTGTCATGTGTCAACACTGTGTATGGTGGTGAAGGTGTCATGTGTCAACACGGTGTAAGGGGGTGAAGGTGTCATGTGTCAACACTGTGTATGGTGGTGAAGGTGTCATGTGTCAACACGGTGTATGGGGGTGAAGGTGTCATGTGTCACTGTGTATGGGGGTGAAGGTGTCATGTGTCAACACGGTGTATGGGGGTGAAGGTGTCATGTGTCAACACTGTGTATGGTGGTAAAGGTGTCATGTGTCACTGTGTATGGGGGTGAAGGTGTCATGTGTCAACACTGTGTATGGTGGTGAAGGTGTCATGTGTCACTGTGTATGGGGGTGAAGGTGTCATGTGTCAACTGTGTATGGTGGTGGTGTCATGTGTCAGCACTGTGTATGGTGCTGAAGGTGTCATGTGTCAACACTGTGTATGGGGGTGAAGGTGTCATGTGTCAACACGGTGTATAGGGGTGAAGGTGTCATGTGTCAACACGGTGTATGGTGGTGAAGGTGTCATGTGTCAACACGGTGTATGGGGGTGAAGGTGTCATGTGTCAACTGTGTATGGTGGTGAAGGTGTCATGTGTCAACACGGTGTATGGGGGTGAAGGTGTCATGTGTCAACACGGTGTATGGTGGTGAAGGTGTCATGTGTCAACACGGTGTATGGTGGTGAAGGTGTCATGTGTCAACACGGTGTATGGTGGTGAAGGTGTCATGTGTCAACACGGTGTATGGTGGTGAAGGTGTCATGTGTCAACACGGTGTATGGTGGTGAAGGTGTCATGTGTCAACACGGTGTATGGTGGTGAAGGTGTCATGTGTCAACACGGTGTATGGTGGTGAAGGTGTCATGTGTCAACACGGTGTATGGTGGTGAAGGTGTCATGTGTCAACACTGTGTATGGGGGTGAAGATGTCATGGGAGCAACACAAATGTGAACAAACTTGAATGGTCGGCAAGCCAATATACAACTGAAAACTCCACACCCCAGAAGGATTCGAACCCAGATAGCCAGGAGTGTTATACACCTCGGCGTACCTGGTACCTTAACCACTAGACCAACACGACTGTACAAAAATCTTGGTAATCGTGAGACTATTTATTCCAAGATCCGACAGCGGTCGATGGTCAACTTGGCCACAGATATTTCATTGAATCACCTCACCTTTTGGGGCCACGTGAGCACCTGGAACATTAGTCCAATAATTTTCACACTCAAGTTGTTTTTCTGTACCACAGAATATGGATGATAAAAAATAGAAAACTGCCTTGGAAGGCTGCCAGTCATGACAGAAGAGGGCGGGAAGGTCTAGGTCACCAGGTCTTGTTCTTGTCCAGCCTCCAGACACGGACAAGAACTAGTATCTTTCTTCCCCAGTCGGGTCTAAAACCTGTACCGGCATCACCATTATGACGTCATAGTGTCGTCACACACCTCCACACCCACAAAACTCAAAATTATGAAACTTATTTTCGTTGCGTAGATTAGGTTAGGATATGTTAAGTTAGGTGAGGTTGGTCAGGTAATGTAAAGTCCTCAGACTTTTAATAATAACCCCAACACTATGTTTGACTCATTTAGTCATATATATATATATATATGTGTCGTACCTAGTAGCCAGAACGCACTTCTCAGCCTACTATGCAAGGCCCGATTTGCCTAATAAGCCAAGTTTTCATTAATTATTTGTTTTTCGACTACCTAACCTACCTAACCTAACCTAACCTAACTTTTTCGGCTACCTAACCTAACCTAACCTATAAAGATAGGTTAGGTTAGGTTAGGTAGGGTTGGTTAGGTTCGGTCATATATCTACGTTAATTTTAACTCCAATTAAAAAAAAATTGACCTCATACATAATGAAATGGGTAGCTTTATCATTTCATAAGAAAAAAATTAGAGAAAATATATTAATTCAGGAAAACTTGGCTTATTAGGCAAATCGGGCCTTGCATAGTAGGCTGAGAAGTGCGTTCTGGCTACTAGGTACGACATATACATATAAATATATATATATATATATATATATATATATATATATATATATATATATATATATATATATATATATACATACCCACACACACACACACACACACACACACACACACACACACACACACACACACACACCTACCAGAGGACTAAAACCATAAATGGCACAGTTCGTCACCTTCATTAGCCGCTTCCATTTTCTAGTAAAACTATTTTTGCCCTTATGTAAGGCATATGAGTGAAATGCGACGTTCTCTGCAGGAGGACAGGTTGGGCACCCAGAGCCAACGGCACTAGGAGAGCAGGCGCCACCCACCACCACCGGGGCCACGCCCCCGTGTGAGGTACACACGGGCCGGACCACGTGTGAGGTACACACGGGCGGGGCCACGTGTGAGGTACACACAGGCCGGGCCACGTGTGAGGTACACACAGGCCGGGCCACGTGTGAGGTACACACGGGCCGGGCCACGTGTGAGGTACACACGAGCGGGGCCACGTGTGAGGTACACACGGGCGGGGCCACGTGTGAGGTACACACGGGCCGGGCCACGTGTGAGGTACACACGGCCGGGGCCACGTGTGAGGTACACACAGGCCGGGCCACGTGTGAGGTACACACGGGCCGGGCCACGTGTGAGGTACACACGGGACGGGCCACGTGTGAGGTACACACGGGCGGGGCCACGTGTGAGGTACACAGAGGCCGGGCCACGTGTGAGGTACACACGGGCCGGGCCACGACACAGTGGTGTTGAGGGAGCAGCGGCTGGGTCCGGGATGCTCCGCGGGACATGTTGACAGTGCCGCTATCCTGGTGGGGCGGAGCAGGACCTCCCGTCCTGCCCAGTGACGCATGGGTGAGAGGAACGATGAACCAGCGAGACTTGACCTGGTCTTCACTCTGAACGGCTCTGACATAAGGGATATCAGTTTCGAGGCCCCGGTAGGAATGAGCGACCACAGTGTACTGGCGTTTGAGTATCTGGTTGAAGAAGGGTTAAGGAAGTCGAGGAAGGAAACTGAAAAGAAGAGGCTGGCATTCCAAAAGGGAAATCAAGGAGATAAGGAAATTCCTGACAGATATAACATGGGAAACAGAGCTCAGGGGAAAGACGGCCCAAGATATGATGAACTTCATCACACAGAAGTGTGAGGAGCAGACAAGTTGTCCCAGTCCAAAAGGAAAACAATGAAATGCAGATGGAAACCCATGGTTTAATTAGAGATGTAGGCTGGCTAAGCAGCAAAGTAAAAGGGCATGGAGAAACTATAGGAATAACAGGACACTGGAGAGCAGAGAAAGATACCAGAATGCCAGGAATGAATATGTCAGGGTGAGAAGAGTGTCAGAAGGGCAATGCGAAAATGACATCACAAGCAAGGCAAAGACTCAACCTAAATTGTTGCATAGCCACATCAGGAGGAAAACAACAGTAAAGGAACAGGTTATGAAATTAAGGATAGGGGAGGAAGGATTCACTACAAACGACAAGGAAGTGTGCGAGGAACTGAATAAGAAATTCTAGGAGGTCTTCACATTAGAGAAGGGGAAGTTCCAAAGATAAGAGAGGGAATAGTTAACCAGGAACCACTGGAAGAGTTTGAGATTACCAGGGGGGATGTAAGGAAGTGTTTACTAGAGTTGGATGTGACATAGGCTATAGGCCCAGATAGAATCTCCTGCATAGATACTAAAGGGAGGAGCAAAAGCACTGTGCCTACCACTCTCCATAGTGTATAACAAATCACTGGTAACAGGAACTGCCAAAAATTTGGAAGACTGCTAATGTAGTCCCGATATACACGAAAGGGGATAGACAGGAGGCACTGAACTACAGGTCAGTGTCCCTAACCTGCATACCATGCAAGCTCATGGAGAAGATTGTGCGAAGAAAGCTAGTGGAGCACCTGGAGCGAAAGAACTTTGTTACACAGCATCAACATGGGTTCAGGGATGGTAAGTCCTGCCTCACAGGATTAATTGAATTCTACGACCAGGCAACAAAAATCAGGCAAGAGAGTGGTGGGCAGACTGAATATTTTTGGATCGCCAGAAAGCCTTTGATACAGTGCCACACAAGAGGCTAGTGAAAAAACTGAAGATGCAGGCAGGAGTGAAAGGGAAGGTACTCCATTGGATACAGGAGTACCTAAGCAACAGGAGACAACGAGTCAGTGTGAGGGGTGAGGTCTCAGATTGGCGAGACGTCACAAGTGGAGTCCCGCAGGGGTCAGTCCTTGGACCTATACTGTTTCTGACATATGTAAATGATCTCCCAGAGGGTATAGACTCGTTTCTCTCAATGTTTGCTGATGATGCAAAAATTATGAGGAGGATTAAAACAGAGGATGATAGTTGGAGGCTACAAGATGACCTAGACAGAATGAATGAATGAATGGTCCAACAAATGGCTACTAAAGTTCAACCCGAGTAAATGCAAGGTCGTGAAACTAGACGGTGGAAACAGGAGGCCAGACACAGGATGTCGAATGGGAAATGAAGTACTTCATGAAACGGACATAAAGAAAGATCTAGGAGTTGATATCACATCGAACCTGTCTCCTGAAGCTCGCATAAAAAGAATTACATCTGCGGCATATGCGAGGCTGGCTAACATCAGAACAGCCTTCAGGAACCTGTGTAAGGAATCATTCAGAATCTTGTACTCCACATATGTAAGACCAATCCTGGAGTATGCGGCCCCAGCATGGAGCCCGTACCTTGTCAAGCACAAGACGAAGCTGGAAAAAGTTCAGAGGTATGCCACTAGACTAGTCCCAGAACTAAGAGGCATGAGTTACGAGGACCTGCACCAGCACACATCTGCCTTCACTACACCAGTAGTTACTGTCACCTTCACTACACCAGTAGTTACTGTCACCTTCACTACACCAGTAGTTACTGTCACCTTCACTACACCAGTAGTTACTGTCACCTTCACTTCACCAGTAGTTACTCTCACCTTCACTACACCAGTAGTTACTGTCACCTTCACTACACCAGTAGTTACTGCCGCCTTCACTACACCAGTAGTTACTCTCACCTTCACTACACCAGTAGTTACTGCCGCCTTCACTACACCAGTAGTTACTGCCACCTTCACTACACCAGTAGTTACTGCCACCTTCACTACACCAGTAGTTACTGCCACCTTCACTACACCAGTAGTTACTGTCACCTTCACTACACCAGTAGTTACTGCCACCTTCACTACACCAGTAGTTACTGTCACCTGCACTACACCAGTAGTTACTGTCACCTTCACTACACCAGTAGTTACTGCCACCTTCACTACACCAGTAGTTACTGTCACCTTCACTACACCAGTAGTTACTGTCACCTTCACTACACCAGTAGTTACTGCCACCTTCACTACACCAGTAGTTACTGTCACCTTCACTACACCAGTAGTTACTGTCACCTTCACTACACCAGTAGTTACTGCCACCTTCACTACACCAGTAGTTACTGCCACCTTCACTACACCAGTAGTTACTGCCACCTTCACTACACCAGTAGTTACTGTCACCTTCACTACACCAGCAGTTACTGCCACCTTCACTACACCAGTAGTTACTGCCACCTTCACTACACCAGTAGTTACTGCCACCTTCACTACACCAGTAGTTACTGCCACCTTCACTACACCAGTAGTTACTGCCACCTTCACTACACCAGTAGTTACTGCCACCTTCACTACACCAGTAGTTACTGTCACCTTCACTACACCAGTAGTTACTGTCACCTTCACTACACCAGTAGTTACTGCCACCTTCACTACACCAGTAGTTACTGCCACCTTCACTACACCAGTAGTTACTGTCACCTTCACTACACCAGTAGTTACTGTCACCTTCACTACACCAGTAGTTACTGCCACCTTCACTACACCAGTAGTTACTGCCACCTTCACTACACCAGTAGTTACTGTCACCTTCACTACACCAGTAGTTACTGCCGCCTTCACTACACCAGTAGTTACTGCCGCCTTCACTACACCAGTAGTTACTGCCGCCTTCACTACACCAGTAGTTACTGCCACCTTCACTACACCAGTAGTTACTGCTGCCTTCACTACACCAGTAGTTACTGTCACCTTCACTACACCAGTAGTTACTGCCACCTTCACTACACCAGTAGTTACTGTCACCTTCACTACACCAGTAGTTACTGCCACCTTCACTACACCAGTAGTTACTGTCACCTTCACTACACCAGTAGTTACTGTCACCTTCACTACACCAGTAGTTACTGCTGCCTTCACTACACCAGTAGTTACTGCCACCTGCACACTAACAACACTGGCAACAGTTAACTCAGCTCCGGCTATAGTCATCTTTCTTCGTCTAGAAAAAGCTTTCGACCTTGCAAGCCTGCAAGCCTGCAAGCCTGCAAGCCTGCAAGCAGTGTTGCAGACGCTAATGACCGGCGTGGGAGGACGACAGAGAGCGTGGGTTTAGCACCACCTCCGTCATAGGTGTGCCAGGGTCAAGTGTCAGACGCATGTATGTGATACTTCGCCACGAGGAGTTCTTAGCCCTTGTCTGTTTAACATTCTTAAGTGAAAACCTCGTTACCATGGAACTTGTAGAAGAGGCTTAATTAGTAAGAAATGCTGATGAGTTAGCTTTAGTCGTCACAGGTCCTTCACTTCTGAATAAAACAAAGAGTGTGCTAAATTAAGTAACACCTGAATGCAGCATTTCAGGGCTAACATTATGTGCAACACTGCAGGCAGGAATCCAGACATCAGTAAAGTAACCTTCGCTGAGTCACACCTTGCCAAGACCTGGGAGTTTGGACAGATTCTAAAATAACATTCACGAATCAAATTTAATATCTAAAGTATGAAGCAAAATCTCGAGTGAATATAATAACAAACACTAATCAACTGAGTGCCGAGTTCTGTAAGAATATGAGGGAATGACAGTGAAGCAGCGAAGACCACTGGAACATTACCTAACACAGTTACCAACCAAATGAGTTTACAACTGAATTTAACAGAGCGGAAGAAGTTATTAAACACCTTGAACATAATCATACTGAAGCTAACATGAGTCACAATTACTCAACCACCGTCTAAGTTAGACAGTAACGAGTAACACTGCACAGGCCCCAAGCCCGAAGTCTGCACAGGCCCCAAGCCCGAAGCCTACACCGGCCCCAAGCCCGAAGCCTACACAGGCCCCAAGCCCGAAGCCTACACAGGCCCCAAGCCCGAAGCCTACACCGGCCCCAAGCCCGAAGCCTACACCGGCCCCAAGCCCGAAGCCTACACAGGCCTCATAATTAATTATAGATACATCTGAGTATTGGCGAAATTATATTCATTAAGCACCAGAGAGCACCACACCACAGAACAGTGAGCCAGAGAGGGCACTACACCACATAACAGTGAGCCAGAGAGGGCACCACACCACATAACAGTGAGCCAGTGAGGGCACACTACACCACATAACAGTGAGCCAGAGAGGGCACCACACCACATAACAGTGAGCCAGAGAGGGCACCACACCACATAACAGTGAGCCAGAGAGGGCACTACACCACATAACAGTGAGCCAGAGAGGGCACACCACACCACATAACAGTGAGCCAGAGAGGGCACTACACCACATAACAGTGAGCCAGAGAGGGCACCACACCACATAACAGTGAGCCAGAGAGGGCACTACACCACATAACAGTGAACCAGAGAGGGCACTACACCACATAACAGTGAGCCAGAGAGGGCACTACACCACATAACAGTGAGCCAGAGAGGCAACACCACATAACAGTGAGCCAGAGAGGGCACCACACCACATAACAGTGAGCCAGAGAGGGCACACCACACCACATAATAGTGAGCCAGAGAGGGCACCACACCACATAACAGTGAGCCAGAGAGGGCACTACACCACATAACAGTGAGCCAGAGAGGGCACTACACCATATAACAGTGAGCCAGAGAGGGTACCACACCACATAACAGTGAGCCAGAGAGGGCACACCACACCACATAACAGTGAGCCAGAGAGGGCACCACACCACATAACAGTGAGCCAGAGAGGGCACCACACCACATAACAGTGAGCCAGAGAGGGCACTACACCACATAACAGTGAACCAGAGAGGGCACTGCACCACATAACAGTGAGCCAGTGAGGGCACACCACACCACATAACAGTGAGCCAGAGAGGGCACTACACCACATAACAGTGAGCCAGAGAGGGCACTGCACCACATAACAGTGAGCCAGAGAGGGCACCACACCACATAACAGTGAGCCAGAGAGGGCACCATACCACATAACAGTGAGCCAGAGAGGGCACCACACCACATAACAGTGAGCCAGAGAGAGCACCACACCACATAACAGTGAGCCAGAGAGGGCACTACACCACATAACAGTGAGCCAGAGAGGGCACCACACCACATAACAGTGAGCCAGAGAGGGCACCACACCACATAACAGTGAGCCAGAGAGGGCACCACACCACATAACAGTGAGCCAGAGAGGGCACCACACCACATAACAGTGAGCCAGAGAGGGCACTACACCACATAACAGTGAGCCAGAGAGGGCACTACACCACATAACAGTGAGCCAGAGAGGGCACCACACCACATAACAGTGAGCCAGAGAGGGCACTACACCACATAACAGTGAGCCAGAGAGGGCACCACACCACATAACAGTGAGCCAGAGAGGGCACTGCACCACATAACAGTGAGCCAGAGAGGGCACCACACCACATAACAGTGAGCCAGAGAGGGCACCATACCACATAACAGTGAGCCAGAGAGGGCACCACACCACATAACAGTGAGCCAGAGAGAGCACCACACCACATAACAGTGAGCCAGAGAGGGCACTACACCACATAACAGTGAGCCAGAGACGGCACCACACCACATAACAGTGAGCCAGAGAGGGCACCACACCACATAACAGTGAGCCAGAGAGGGCACCACACCACATAACAGTGAGCCAGAGAGGGCACCACACCACATAACAGTGAGCCAGAGAGGGCACTACACCACATAACAGTGAGCCAGAGAGGGCACTACACCACATAACAGTGAGCCAGAGAGGGCACCACACCACATAACAGTGAGCCAGAGAGGGCACTACACCACATAACAGTGAGCCAGAGAGGGCACCACACCACATAACAGTGAGCCAGAGAGGGCACTACACCACATAACAGTGAGCCAGAGAGGGCACCACACCACATAACAGTGAGCCAGTGAGGGCACACTACACCACATAACAGTGAGCCAGAGAGGGCACCACACCACATAACAGTGAGCCAGAGAGGGCACCACACCACATAACAGTGAGCCAGAGAGGGCACTACACCACATAACAGTGAGCCAGAGAGGGCACACCACACCACATAACAGTGAGCCAGAGAGGGCACTACACCACATAACAGTGAGCCAGAGAGGGCACCACACCACATAACAGTGAGCCAGAGAGGGCACTACACCACATAACAGTGAACCAGAGAGGGCACTACACCACATAACAGTGAGCCAGAGAGGGCACTACACCACATAACAGTGAGCCAGAGAGGCAACACCACATAACAGTGAGCCAGAGAGGGCACCACACCACATAACAGTGAGCCAGAGAGGGCACACCACACCACATAATAGTGAGCCAGAGAGGGCACCACACCACATAACAGTGAGCCAGAGAGGGCACTACACCACATAACAGTGAGCCAGAGAGGGCACTACACCATATAACAGTGAGCCAGAGAGGGTACCACACCACATAACAGTGAGCCAGAGAGGGCACACCACACCACATAACAGTGAGCCAGAGAGGGCACTACACCACATAACAGTGAGCCAGAGAGGGCACCACACCACATAACAGTGAGCCAGAGAGGGCACTACACCACATAACAGTGAACCAGAGAGGGCACTGCACCACATAACAGTGAGCCAGTGAGGGCACACCACACCACATAACAGTGAGCCAGAGAGGGCACTACACCACATAACAGTGAGCCAGAGAGGGCACTGCACCACATAACAGTGAGCCAGAGAGGGCACCACACCACATAACAGTGAGCCAGAGAGGGCACCATACCACATAACAGTGAGCCAGAGAGGGCACCACACCACATAACAGTGAGCCAGAGAGGGCACCACACCACATAACAGTGAGCCAGAGAGGGCACTACACCACATAACAGTGAGCCAGAGAGGGCACCACACCACATAACAGTGAGCCAGAGAGGGCACCACACCACATAACAGTGAGCCAGAGAGGGCACCACACCACATAACAGTGAGCCAGAGAGGGCACCACACCACATAACAGTGAGCCAGAGAGGGCACTACACCACATAACAGTGAGCCAGAGAGGGCACTACACCACATAACAGTGAGCCAGAGAGGGCACCACACCACATAACAGTGAGCCAGAGAGGGCACTACACCACATAACAGTGAGCCAGAGAGGGCACCACACCACATAACAGTGAGCCAGAGAGGGCACTACACCACATAACAGTGAACCAGAGAGGGCACTGCACCACATAACAGTGAGCCAGTGAGGGCACACCACACCACATAACAGTGAGCCAGAGAGGGCACTACACCACATAACAGTGAGCCAGAGAGGGCACTGCACCACATAACAGTGAGCCAGAGAGGGCACTGCACCACATAACAGTGAGCCAGAGAGGGCACCACACCACATAAGTGAGCCAGAGAGGGCACCATACCACATAACAGTGAGCCAGAGAGGGCACCACACCACATAACAGTGAGCCAGAGAGAGCACCACACCACATAACAGTGAGCCAGAGAGGGCACTACACCACATAACAGTGAGCCAGAGAGGGCACCACACCACATAACAGTGAGCCAGAGAGGGCACTACACCACATAACAGTGAGCCAGAGAGGGCACTGCACCACATAACAGTGAGCCAGAGAGGGCACTACACCACATCCAGCTCAGCGCCCCGTTCATCCCTGAACTAGTATATCAGACACAGACGATGAACACAACAAACGTTGCTCCTGTTTTGTCTTGAGTCATGAAATGTCCGATACATGACGCTTGGTTCCTGATTCCACTGAATTTGTGAGGAACTAGTGAGTTGGTGTGAGAGGGAGTGACGGAACACCTGTCTTCTGGTCCAACACTGATCCACTGAACTTAAGAAACAGCAAGACGACTCCACACATTTAGTCAGACGTCTTCACACTTAACACAGTACACTGACACTTCTCGTCCCTTAACTCCGGTGATTAGTCTTGATGGTTTAAGTGAAGCGAGGCAGAAGGTGCCCCTTGAGTATCCTGCCTCCGACCTACAGTCTCGCATCGCTTCAGTCAAATGGGTACTGATCTTGACTTTAAAACTTGGTAATTGTGTCCATTTACTGATGTGTAAATTGACAGTTAATCTAGGCCGCTTACAACGTGACCCATTGTTTAATGACAGGTTTTC